CGGTGTGTTAACTTTTTTAAATATTAATGTGCACAATGAAATAGTAGAACCCGACGAGTGTGCTCAGTAGAGTATGAGCGATTAATCTTTATGCTGCATGACTGTTAATCAAAGGCTTTGTTTATTGTCTATGTATTCTTTCCAGTTTAAAGACGGAGATGCTGTGTCAACCGTAACATGTTGGCCTCTCTGAGGCTTGCTGTGGTTTTGGCACAGCTCGGGCAGCCATGTGTCGCGCCTGTGATCGGATCAACATCTCATCAGCCTTAATAGGATGTGACAGGTGTACATGGAGGCATTTCTTGAACGTTATGATGAGAACTAACAGCATTTCCCTCCATGGTTTATTTTTCAGACTGAGGCCTGCTAGTTGCTCATATTTAACCCAGTAGATTGGGGATACCTTGAGGTTATGACACCTTGTTCAAGTTTTATTTTATAGTCATATGGATAGTGACAAAGATGACTGTCATTTTATTAATTCGCTAGCTGCAAAAGATATGAAATCACTTTTTTTTTTTAGTTAATACTTGTATGTTTGTGTTGAAAGGTGACCAGTCTTTTTAAGAAATGTAGTTTTTTGTTTCCGAATAAAATGACATAAGCATGTTATTTATGGTCATTTATGAATTTAGATTTTTTTTCCAGTTCTACTTCAAAATGTCTGCTGTGCGATTGACCTTCCCTTGAACGTTGAACAGCAACAGTTCCCCAGTGTTGTGTCCAGTCATGTGAGCTTGGCGCTGTGGTAGAAACTGGAACAAGACCAACGCCTAGGTCCTAACCTTTGCTCTAATCCTTCCCGCGTCCCCCCCCCCCCCCTCGCCTTCTCTTTAACCCATAATCGGCAGTAAATGCTTCATTGTTCTTGTCCACTGCTGGGATATCTGATCATTAACCCACATTCAGAGCTGTGGTGGCAGGCTTCTTAAGGCTCTCGGACTCTCCGACCAATTTTAATGGGCGCGTTTCAGTGGGCTGAGCCTTTCTCTCCTGCCAGGACAGTTAACCCCATTTACGCCTCTCGAGTACAAACATTAGTCTATTTTGATTTGTGTGTGAGCAATGCCCCGAGCCTCTCCCTTGTAAATTTAGGGGCTATTCCTGTTTTTTATGGGAGCTTTTAAGTGATGGCTAAGGCTGTGAAACAGTTCAGCTCTCAATCTTACATAAGAATACACATTTAGGACACACAGTGCATTATGTCTGAGTCTTACAACAGCTTAATGCTTGGATTATTATGAATTAAGCCAGACAATTTGGTGTCCTGAAAGTGTTTTGGCCAAACTAACATGGTTTGTCCTTTAGTTTAATGGAAGAGCATGCTTGATGTATTGTAGATTTTGACAGTTTTAGCAGGTGGTTTCATTTTGACCACCAGATTCCATCTGTAAGGGGCGGGTGCCTTGATGAAACTGGTAGCTTCTGTGAAATTTCGGCAGCAGTTGTCTTGTATCCGTTCATTCATTTACTCGCCACTATTGGCAATGGAAACCCATGCTTTTCCCACGTGGGGGAGGTTGAACCAGAGCTCTCCATCTCTTCCCAGGAACATAGCCGGCTCATTTATGCAACCGGACAACCACCGGAACAAAGGCCAGACGCTCTGGTTGGAGGAGGCGTGTGTTTCGTCTGTCTGGGGTCAGGGCGGCGAGAGGTGAACCGACGCCTTGAGGCATCCAGTGTCACTTGCTCTTTGTTTGTCCATGTCGAAATCAGTCCCGATGAACCAGTGACGGAAGGAGAGCCGCACTTATTCTGTGCATGTAATGGTATGCCTTTGAAGGCAGGATTGCATGACTGTAAATACAACCAACAGATGAGGCTTGTGTGCTTTTACTTTAATCGTATATTTTCAAAAGCAATTTCCAGGTTTTCAAGCAACAAAGACAACTGTCTTGGTTTACATGTTGCTGCTGGATTTTGGCTGGAACTCTTATTATTATTATTATTATTATTATTATTATTATTATCAGCAATTAATCCAGTATTATTTTGTGAAATACATTTCTTTGCTCGATTCAATATTAAATACTTAAGTAAAAACCCCACAAGTTACCAGGTCTTTTGATTTAATGTTTTAAAATTGCTTTCTTATTCTGACTAACAGCCACAAACCTAATGCTCAATTTATAAAGAACTTAAGATAAAAGCATACATTTGGTTATTTTCATATGATAAATAGTTCAAATGGATAATTTGTCATTTTCCATAATTTTACCAATAATTTGGATTACTGATATGTTGAAGAATAGGATTATCTTCTTATTTTGGGATGTCAATGGGATAAATAATTGGACTGGACATTTCTAGGGCACAACAGATTTGGCGTACACAGTGCGAGGTATTTATACATCACCGGCACATTAATTGGTCAGTAAAATGTATGCTGTGTGTGTGATCATGCTGAAGATGGCTGGGTATTGTTGCCTCTCCTGGAGCCTCAGTAGTAGGGCCTTTGCGCCTGGCTTTGTCCTGTTACTCATTAGGTAGTCGGAGGAGGTGGCGGCGGAGGAGACGAAGGCTGGGAGTGGATGCGCAGCTGAGAGAGACCTCCCCCATCATTTAGCCTGACGGCACACAGGACCACCACCACGTGACTGGCTGTTTACTGTCGCAGCAAGCGTAGTGTTTCTCCTTGAGCGTGTTGCAGGATTTGCCTGCCTCCTGTTGTAGGAAAATCTGACTTTTATCTTGAATTTAGATTTGAAATATTCTTGTTTTATAATCCACTGGGTTTTATTTCTACTGGTCTATAACATTTTGTACACGGTGACGCATTCAGAGCTCGTTTTCTAGTAGGTTCCTTTGTGTGTGTGTGTGTGTGTGTGTGTGTGTGTGTGTGTGTGTGTGTGT